GTCTGCTCTAGTGGCTGAGCTCGTCGACTTTGCTGGTCGCTGTCGTCTAGACTACGCTGCTAGTCTTGTTGCTGAGTCTGCGTCTGTCTGTCCTCCGTCCGTCGGGGGTGAGTGTGCTCTTGGCACGGACGTCCTTTAGGACAGGCAGGAGGAGTTCCAGTGTCTGGCTGCTGCTTCACCTCATCTCGTGTCCGTACTGCTTACCCCTGAGGGAGACCCGGATGCACTTGACATCCCGACTCCGCGCTCTTACGCGGAGGCCGTAGAGGGTCCCTACTCCTCTCAGTGGCAGGCAGCTATGGATGCAGCGATGGCTTCCTGGAAGTCCACAGGCACCTACATTGACGCGGTTCCCCCACCTGGGGCGAACATCGTCAGTGGCATGTGGATCTTCAGGGTGAAGCGGCCGCCAGGTCCTCCACCTGTCTTCAAGGTGCGGTACGTGGCTCGTGGCTTCAGTCAACGGTAGGGAGTCGACTTCTTTCAGACCTTCTCTCCCACCCCGAAGATGACCACTCTTCGGGTGTTGCTGCACATAGCTGCTCAGCGTGACTACGAGCTTCACTCCCTTGACTTCAGCACTACTTTCTTGCAGGGTAGTCTGCACGAGGAGATCTGGCTGTGCCGTCCGCCTGGCTTCACTGGGACTTTTCCTCCTGGCACCCAGTGGAGCCTCCGACGGCCAGTCTACGGTCTCCGCCAGGCACCGCGTGAGTGGCACGACACACTGAGGATGACGCTTGCGGCTCTTGGGTTTACTCCCTCTACTGCCGACCCGTCGCTATTTCTACGCACCGACACCTCTTTGCCACCGTTCTACATCCTCGTGTACGTCGACGACTTGGTCTTTGCCACTGCTGACACTGCTGGACTCGCCCACGGGAATTCTGAGCTGCAGAAGAGACACACGTGCATAGACCTGGGTGAACTGCGCAGCTATCTTGGCTTGCAGATCACCCGGGACAGAGCACAGCGCACCATTACCCTGACTTAGTCACACATGGTGCAGCAGGTCCTTCAGCGCTTCGGCTTCACGTACTCCTCGCCTCAGGCCACTCCTCTGTCTACTCGCCACTCGCTCTCAGCTCTGCCTTCGGATGAGTCCGTAGAGTCGAGTGGCCCGTACCCAGAGCTTGTTGGCTGCCTCATGTACCTGATGACCTGCACACGACCTGACCTTGCATACCCTCTTAGCATTCTTGCACACTATGTTGCTCCTGGGAGACACAGACTAGAGCACATGGCTGCAGCGAAGAGGGTGTTGCGCTACTTGTGCATTACGTCAGGCATGGGGCTAGTGCTTGGAGGGCAGAGTCCAGTGGTCCTCACTGGGCACGCATACGCTTCTTGGGCTGACGACCAGGCTACGCAGCGGTCGTCACAGGGTTACACCTTCAGCCTTGGTTCCGGCTCTGTTTCGTGGCGGGCTACTCGCTCGTCTTCTGTTCTCGGCTCCAGTTGTGAGGCTGAGATCTACGCCAGAGCCATGGCTGCTCAGGAGCTTCGCTGGCTCACCTACCTGCTGAGTGAGCTCGGAGAGCCGCCTCGTTCTCCTCCAGTGCTGTACGTAGACAACAAGGCCATGCTGGCCTTGTGTCAGGAGCAGCGCCTGGAGCACAGAACGAAGCAGATTGCTCTCCGCTACTTTCTTGCTCGTAAGCTGCAGCAGCGTGGTCAGTTGCGACTTGCGTACGTGGCCTCTGAGGCCAACACTGCTGATATCTTCACTAAGGCACTTGCGCCTTGTGATCATCAGCGCTTCTGTACTCAGCTTGGTCTTATGCCTGTCTTGCCTCACTTGCTCACTTCTTGGCCTTGCTTGTTCTGTCACATATATATACTGCTGCTCTTGCTTGTTTAGCCTTATATATATATGTGTGTGTACTCCTGCATGTGAACCGGCCGTCTGGCCTTGAACTTGTGCTCGGAATGTGTGGTGACTTTGTGATCCACCCTGAGCTTTGCTTTGCTTTGCTTGACTGGTCTTGTGACCCCTTGTTCTCCCCTACTTTGCCTATGGGGGTGTGTCAGATTTGTATGACATAGCTGTTGTAGGCTATAGTGGAGTAGCACATATGGGGTACAGCTTTCTAGGGTTGCTTTTGTACCCAACTTTCACTTAGTCATTTCACTCTCGTTCTAAGTTTCTCAAGGACCCCCAGAGGGGTTCGCTAGGGAGACCGCAACCGGCCCACTAAGCGGTGTAAGCGTGGTGCGGTCTCGAAAGAAGGAGCGGGAAGCACCCGAGTTAAGGGTGAAGGTGTGTAAGGCGTGAGTCGACGTGCTACCTGAGAGAGCAGACTCACCAGCACCTGGGGCAGCAGACGCACTAGCACCTAGAGCAGCAGCCTCAATGCCCGGGCCAGGCGGAACACACAGGTAACAGTCACCCTCATCACTAGTAGACACAGGATACATGGCAACAAGAATAGCATCATAATCAAGATCAAAGATAGCAACCCCCGACCTCTGCAGCTCTCCCCAGCGAGGGATCTTTGTGGCGTTAGGGAACTGGAGACGCCAAGCGTCCGTCAAGCGGCCGAAGCAGCGCTGGGTGGGGTGCGGGCCCCCGCACTGCTCACCCGTACGGTCGCTGGTACGCAGGACGTAGGTACAGGGACCAGTACCCCCACCCCGCTGATGCGAAGCGTACCACTCACGAAGCTGCTGGGGGGGCGGGGTCTCACGAGCGCGCTGCTGGTGCTGGCGCTGACCACCACCGAAGCCGCCCCGCTGCGCAGAGCCACCCCGACTAGCTCCACCACCTCCGCCGCCACCTCCGCCACCGCCGCCACCGCCTCCTCCTCCGCTCCCACCGCCACCGCCGCCGCCGCCTCCGCCGCCACTGCCGCCACCGAAGCCCCCACCCCTGCCACCACTCCCACCACCACCCCCACTCCCTCCGCCTCCTCCACCGCCACCTCCACCGCCCCCGCCAGCCCCTTCAGTGCCCTTGCCCCCCTTGCCCTTGCCAGTGCGGCATCGCCCGCTAGGGGCAGACGCAGCGCCGAGCGACTCGGTGCCAATGAAGTCGACGGCAACAGCAGAGGCAACAGAGGGCAAAAGGGGGGAGGGGGAGCACCCCTCAAAGACAGGGGCACGAGGGTCACCTCGAGAGGCTCCTAGAGCGACTACATTCTTCTCAGCTGCCAGGAGGCGCTCCTCGAGGAGGTCAACAGTGAGTGTGGTGGGGCAAACAGAGAGGAAGTGGTCCCTGACCGAGCGAAGGGAGTCAGGGAGCCGGGTGACTATGTAGTAGAGGGTGATGTACATGGGGGCGGGTGTTCTTGGCGCAGAACTCAGCAGGAAGCGCAGTGCGGTAGCGGGTGTCACTAGTGCGAAGGTGCGTAACGAGGTCAGCGACAGTGGGAAAGGCGGCGAGGTCAGGAAACGGGTACGGCAGCATGAGGCGGCTAAGAGCAGCAGTGGCTGGGGAAGAGTAGCGTGCAACTACAACGTCGTCCAAGGTCTTAGCACTCTTGTACTGACTAGAGTGCGCACGCTCAGCGGTCGGTAAGTGGCGACGCACAGCAAGACAGGTAGCAGCATCGCGTGTGGCCCCAATGTGAGCGAATAGTGCTGTCAGCATCAGCAGGCGGGGCAGGAGAGGCACCAGAGGTGAGATCGAACAGGGAGAGTCCGTCTGCCCTATCGCACTGTAGGAAGAGTTGTAGGTCATCGACTCAGACCTCGAAGTCAACAGCACGACCCTCAGCATCAAAGGTAAGGACACTGGGGGTAGCCATGACAGCAGTGGTCTAGCAGGGAGTGCTCTCACCATTCTGGGTGGGTAGGGCCGGGGCGCGCCGGTAGGAACAGAGCTGCAACCGCGGTAGCAGCGGCTCGGCAGTGGCAGTAGCGGCTCGACGGCGGCTCGGCAGCAGCGGCTTGGTAGTGGCGGCTTGGCGGCCTCGGCGGCTCAGCTGCTCGGCGGCTCGACGGCGGCTCAGCAGCACCGGCTTAGTAGTGGCGGCTTGGCGGCCTCGGCGGCTCGGCTGCTCGGCGGCTCGGCTGCTCGGCAGCTCGGCGGTTCGGCGGTTCGGCGGCTCGGCAGTTCAGCGGCTCGGCGGCTCGACGGTTCGGCGGCTCGGCGGTTCGGCGGCTCTGCGGCTCGGCGGTTCGGCTGGTTGGCGGCTCGGCGGCTCGGCGGTGAAGGGGCCGAGGAGGGGCCGAAAGGGGGCGGCAACGAGGCCGCAAGGGGCAGCAACGGGGCCGCAAGGGGCGGCGACGGGGCCACTAAGGGCGGCGACGGGGCCACGAAGGGGGGGCGACGGGGCCGAGAAGAGGCCGCGAGGGGCCGTGAAGGGCGGCGAAGGGGCCGCTAGAGGTGGCGACTGGGCCGCGAGGGGCGGTGACGGGGCCGTTAAGGGGCCGCGAGGGGCCTCGAAGGGAGGCGACGGGGTTGTTAGGGGCGGTGACGGGGCCGCGAAGGGGCCGGGAGGGGCTTAGAAGGGCAGCGACGGGGCCGCAAAGGGCGGCGACGGGGCGGCGACGGGGCCGCGAAGGGGCCGCGAGGGGCCTAGAAGGGCGGCGACGGGGCCGTTTAGGGTGGGGACGAGGCCAATAGGGGTGGCGACGGGGCCGCGAGGGCCCACTAGGAGGGCGCGACAGGCCGCTAAGGGCAGGGGACGCGACGAGAGGGCGGCCCACGGGGCGCGCCTCGGGCAGGGGCGACTCGCGCTCCGGTCAGGAAAAAAAAAAAAATCGATTTCAGTGGTGGGCCCTAAGAAGCGTTCCCACTAGGGAACCTGCTCTATATCACGTGAAGAAATGAGGAATGAATGAACTAGCAAGCAGGTGGGTACAAGTAGGAAAACCTAAAAGTGTTGTACCCCATATTATCTTCCCCACTACAGCCTACACAGACTATAGCATATGAGTTTGACACGAAAGACCTTTTCAGCTTCCGGATTCGCACCCTCGGTAACATCAGGCTCGTCTTCCTGCCGCCTAACAATACTGCCTTCATGCAGCCGCTCGATCAGGGTCTGATCCCAACGATGAAGTTGCACTACCGCCAATTCTGGCTCGCTGCGGTCATGGCTCTGTGGCAGGACGCGGGTGCCATGACCGCCATGGAGCGCTACCGGCCGAATATGCGCGACGTCATCCTCTGGCTCAGTGAAGCGTCGATGAATATCCCTGTGCGCACGATCTAGCATTGCAGGTGGCGCACAGAGTGCATGCCGCGCTCATGGGCCATGGATCTGGCGCATGTCGGCTTGGACGGCCTTGCTGCAGTCGGCAACGGCGTAAACGCCGCTCTCCCTATCGACCTTGACGAGGATATCGGGGATGTTGGCTTGATGAACGCACGCCTCAGCCTCGGGCCTAGCGCCATGCCGGCCGCCGCTTTCGTCGCCATCGACGACGATCGGCCAACGTGCGCCGAGCCAGGCGAGGACCCGCTCGCCCTTGAGCATGCGGCGGGATATTCGTACGCGTCGTGGGAGGCGCCGACCGCCATGCAGGTTGTGTACGACGATGACAATCCAGAGAGCCGCGAGGCGCGACGCTGTGCACAGGCGGCGAGCGAGATGCTCGTTGGCTACGCACGTGCTACCGACATCACGCTGCGCAACCCTTGTGCGTTTTTCGAAATTTGGAACCCCGTCATCGTCGACCGCATGGAGCACGCAAGCCCCGCCATGAACCTGAACACGACGTCGTCGCCCGCTCCCCAGCCTGTCGCGTCCCCTACAGCCGCTCGTGGGCTGGCATCTGTCGCCATCACACCGGCTACCACTCCTCGTCGCCGCGGGCGCATTCTACCAGCGTGGATGTACGCGCCTGCTCCCAGCCGCCAGCAGCTGATTGACTCTGGCGTTAGTGCCGTCATGATTGGCCATGTCGATGCAGCAAAGTGGATGATTTTGTGAAGGATTTGTTTCACCCCTTATAGGAACGACTCTCTGTGCACCAATGTGCGCAACTTGTACACAATTGTGCAATTAGTAGCCCCGTGTGTTGGTTGGGGTGCGCAGCTGGAAGGCTGGTATTGGCTGAAGTGAGAGTGTTGTATATTCGTGCCTGTTTGCGAGTGAACATGTAATCGGGGGCTACAGAAATGGGTGACTTAAGTGTTAACAAGCGCAACATATAACAAACAACCACAGCCACCCTGCAATGATGTCCCTTAACTTGAACAGGGTGTTACACGTTCCACTTAAACGCCCATAATGACCGAGGCGAAGTGCGCGAAATGACAGAACCGCTTATAGACCCTTTCACAGGGCGGGTATGGGCGATTCAAATGCGTATTAGGTGTATTTCACATCTCGTCACTGTTATGTCACATCCTGGGGCCTGACGCTTTCATCAACTTGCTGTAATTGTGTATCATTCCTGCGACTGTAGTCCAAGGCTCGATCCAACGAACAGAGAGATTCCTTTATGACGACTGGCTCTTCCGTCAGTCAAGCCGCTGCATCCAGCACAGTTCTAAATTCCAACCCCAATCGCACAGTACAGTACAGTTCTTTGCAGTTATCGATGGAGAGTTTTATGAGTTGCAAACCATGGCTTCCCCTTAGCTCATAATTATGGACTTGAAAGATCGATTGCTTTTCTGTTGTCATCCTCCTGAAACTACGGTTGATCTTAGGGGGACTATGGTCGCTAATGGGCGCTCGGTTTGGGATAGGGCTTTTTAGAACGTGTAACTTTCTCTAATTCTACCTGTCCGGACGGCCCATCGTCCGGAATTCGGTAAGGTTATTAATCTCGTTAGTGTTCGCTAGGTCTTTGATTCGTTGAAGGATTTCGCTGAGGTTCGTAACCCTTTTAAAGTCTGGACGGTGGGCCGTCCGGACGGTCAAAAAGAGAAGGTTATACGCCCTTAAGCGCCCCCAGATTTCTCCAGACAGCGGGGGTAGTTACTGAAATAGTTCACTGTTTTCATGCACCTCCCTGGTTTGCAGCTGGTAATCTCACGCAGGCAGCCTGGCAGGGTGGACCGCTGTTGACCAGCAGAAGCTCCGTGAAAAAGTCAGCTTTACATGAAGTTACACCCATTTTTTCTTTCTGCTTAACAGAAGTTAGCTTGATATATACGGAAACTACCTGCGTTTTGACTGCCTCTGCTGAGCTTGTGGGGACGAGTTTGATTGTAAATGTTTTTGAAGTAACATATATCTGGTGTCTTGTTAAATCACACTTATTCGTGTGTCAGGAATCAAATCTGCTTTCTTTGCGATAAAGTACGAACGACGTGGTACCATTTTCATGTTGAAATAATTAAGCTACGTCTCTCTGGAATTCGGGACTGTTATTCGAGTCAGATGGAAACACGTCGTAGACTGTATCCTCCTCGCACCCCTCAAGCGGAGGCCACATGTACACGTACTTTTCTGGATGTGCGAACTTCAGAACGCATCTTGACCTTGCCGTGAGGTGTGGCTGCCATTTTCGTTTGCGCTACTTTGATTGTACACTGCAAAGCCACACCTCACGGCAGCCGCTATGTGGCAGTCGAATACGGGACAGGATATAGGCAGGTGCCTCACTACGATTTAGAGAGTAATTGTGGTAAACACTCCGGAAAACGAGTAAATTTTGTAGCCTCCATTGAAAGCAGTAAGGGAAAATTTGCGCGACGCGCCAGTACGCGAACTTGTTTTAAGTCTATTAACCAATCTCGCAACGCAGGTAGGGCGACCAAACCACGTCCAAATGGATCAATTTACACGCGCTATTGCGATTGTAACTGCAAGTTTTGATGTGTGGGAGTCGGTGGTTCCTCTCGATATCACTATTTTGGTGGCGCGAAAATGTTTGGCGCGTGTGTCACGCTTCCTGTCTACATAAGGAGGACAAAATTTAATATGGGGCCGACAATAAACCCCGAAATACAGGGACGCAATTCGGGAGGCATCAACCCTGAACAAAGATGTCAAGGTGTTTAGGCTTGATGCCTCGAATGTGGTGCAATTCGGGGGGTATCAACCCTAAACAGGGGAGCTGGCAAGGTGTTTAGGGTCGATACTTTGAAAGCGGTGCCTGGCTCCCTAGGGGTTTTAGTTTGTTTAACACCGTATAAAAATCAAGACATAAAAAAATCAGCATAAGACAAGCCTTGTCGGCGCGACTAGATTGAAGTGACGTAACACGTCGCAAAATCTGTCTTTGTTGAAAGATTTGAAACCCCATGCTGTAATTTCGTGAATCTCAGCGTAAATCCAAATTGCACCTGTAACGCTGAGATAAACATGTTTGAAGCATTAATATAACGTGAAATAAAGTGGAAATTGACTCATTTGGACGAGGTTCGGTCGCCCTACCTGCGGTGCGAGCTTGGTTGATGGAATTAAAAAAAGTTTGTGCGCCGGCGCATCGCGCAATCTCGCCAGCAGTAAGACAAGGATGGTCCTTCCTTGCCCTACCCACCGAGCAGCGTTTGCCATCCTTTTCTAGAAGCACGTCGACAACCTCACCTGCGTCATCATGACGGCTGCGTTTTGGCTTTGGTGCCAGAGGCCAGTCGACGCAAGATGTGGTGAGTTGCATTGCGGGTGACAAGTATTTTTTGGCTCTTTCAGGTAGGAGTTAGCGGTGCTCCACCCTAGGCAAAATTCACCTCTGGCTCCAGTCCGCTCCACTTTCCCCAGACCAGACCAGAAGCTTTGGAGGAGCATCTGCACCACCGAAACGGAAGTCGTTTCTCTGAAGATGGACGCCGTATGAACAGCTTCTCAAGTGTTGCGACGCACAGAACAGAACACAGAATGGTTTGAAAATAGTCTTGTCAGCGGTAGTAAGGAGGTAGGATAGGGTTGGAAGTGGCACAAGAACCGGCAAACCCTAATGTAAAGTGCTCCCTACGTCGAGTAGTCCTCCCTGCCGGCCAGGTAGTGTTCCAGCAGGTCCAACAGATCACCGACCGAACGTTCCGCTAAGTGCAAGGTTCCGCGACGAGCGTTCCGTAATCTGCGTTCTTAACTGAGCGTTCCGCAAACCCGCGTTCCGCGAACCCGCGTTCCCCATTCAAGCGCTCCGCAAACCTGCAATTTCGCAAACCTGCGTTACGCACACCTGCGCAAAACTGCGTCGCGCGAGCCAGCGTTTCGAGGGCGCCGCCGCAACGGGTAGGCAGCGGATTGTCACCGCTAGAAGCGGCGGCGGTTCCGGGAGTCGAGTTACAGCTGTTTCTACGCCAGAAACCGTCCAATGGCGAGCTTTCGCAGAAGAGATAATCCGAGTGACAGGGGGGGAATCGCAGCCGTTTCCAGAAATGACTCAAGCGTTTCGCAACATAATGAGAGAGACGGGGAGCAACGGCAGCTGATTGTCACAGCGCCGGCGGCGGGGTCGAGTCAGCATGGGGGACAGGATAGTACGTTATCCGATAAGCTCATGCATTTCGACCTAGATTCCTCAGAGGCGTCTTTTTCCGCAGCCGAACCCAGCAGCGACGCGGCGACTCGCAATGATGACCTGGTCATTGACATTGCTGACGTGTCCTGCTGCTGCTTCCCGAGAATCAAACGCTCCAGTTATCAACCTGGCAGACGCGACGGTTTTTCCGCCGCCGCAGCCTCCGCCGCCTCCGCGGGGTGCTTCCCCAGCGCAGGGGGAAGGGGCACGCGACAGCGCGGAAACACTGTACAGTGGGCGCCGTCATCAGCCGCGACAGGCGGCGGCGGCGGCGGCGGCGGCGGCAGCGGCAGCGGCGTATTGGCGGAAGAAGAGGAGGACGGGGAAGGGGTTGCGCGGAAGGGATTTTCGCGGTGGACTGTACGCGCGGTGCGGTTATTCGGTCTTGCGCCGGGTTGGGTGCAAGTCGTCGTGCGCATGTGCTGGTTGGCGCTGGGACTGGGAATCGCGGTGCTGGCGTTCTGGGGGAGCTATGTGGCGCAGCGGAACAGCGCAAAGGTACGGTGGGGCAGCGGAACAGCGCAAAGGTACGACGTGTTGGGCCGGAAACTGGAGCAGCGGAATTGCCAAGGTACTATGGGCCAGCGGAACAGCGCTAGAGTACGGCGTCGGAGTGAAACTGGCGCAGCGGAACAGCGCAAAGGTACGGCGTTCGGGGGAAACCGGCTCAGCGGAAGGGCGCAAAGGTACCTGTCTCCGGAAATGAATAACCGTCCCATCGCCGTTGGCTCATGTCTGAAGGAATTTTTGGGGGACACGACTCTTTCAATCGCCGATCCGTCCTGTTTCAAGCGGCTCGGGAATGTTACCGTTGGTGCTCCTCTCTCAGCCCCACCCGTACCTCACCCTCTCCACCCCCACCCCACCCAAAACGTCCCCTCGCCATGGCCCCCCACCCACCACGCCCGTTCGCCATACCCCCGCGCATTCGTCACGTCCCTTCGCCATGCCTCCTCACCACGCCCCCTCGCTCCCTCCCTCCCCCCTCTCCCCACGCCCCCTCGCTCCCTCCCTCCCCCCTCTCCCCACGCCCCCACGCTTCCTTTCCCTCCTCGCTTCCTTTCCCCCCTCCGCGCGCCCTCCTCTCCCCTTACCCCTCCCCACTCACCCTGGCAGGGGGCGATGACGATCAAGTGCATCGACTGGCCGGCTAAGCTGCAAATCCGATCACTTTTTGAGAATTCTCACAAGCGATACGAGCCTCCTCCTCCCTTCCTCCTCCCACGCACCTTCGCACCCTCTCCCCTCCCTCCCCTCACCCCCCCCCCCCCCTCTCCACCACACGCCCCCTCGCTTCCTTCCCCTTCCCATAACGGCCCCTTGCTCCCTTCTCCCTTCCTCACGCCCCCTTGCCGCGCTCCCCACTCCCCCCTTTCGCCACCCTGGCAGGAATCAGTGCATTGATTGGTCAGCTCAGCTGCAAACCACTTTTCGAGAATTCTTGCAAGCAGTACAAGCAACCTCCCCCCCAAACACCCCCCCGCCCCCTTAACACCACCTTCCGCCTCCCGTTCCCTCCGCTCTCCCCCCCCCCCACACCGCGACCCCGGGCAGGAGGCAATAACGAACCAGTGCATTGATTGGTCGTCTCAGCTGCAAATCACCTTCCAAGTGGCCTCGCAGGAGGTCAGTGTTCTGAGCGCAGGCATGAGCGTGGGTTGGTGTGCGTGTGGGCGTGGGCGTGGGCGTGGGCGTGGGCGTGGGCGTGGACGTGGGCGTGGGCGTGGGCGTGGGCGTGGGCGTGGGCGTGGGCGTGGGTGAGCGTGTGGGTGTGGGTGTGGGTGTGGGTGTGGGCGTGGGTGAGCGTGTGGGTGTGGGTGTGGGTGTGGGTGTGGGTGTGGGTGTGGGTGTGGGTGTGGGTGTGGGTGTGGGTGTGGGTGTGGGTGTGGGTGTGGGTGTGGGTGTGGGTGTGGGCTGGTTGGTTCGACTGGTCCGCTGAGCTGCAGATCACGTTCCAAATGGCCTCGCAGGAGGTCAGTGTTCTGAGCGCAGGGCATGGGCGTGGGCGTGGGCCCGGGTGGGTGTGGGTGGGCGGTGGGGCGTGGGCGTGGGTGTGGGCATGGGCGTGGGGTCGGTAAGGTGTGTCTGGCTATGTGCGCCATCTTGGTTATGCTCCTGTATATCTGCCTAATCGCTCGCGCCCTCACATTGACATCTCCTTTTTTCTCTGCCACCTGACTCGTGGTCCATTCCATCCCACTGCACTGTGTGTGTGCTGTGTGTGCACGTGTGTGCCTGACGTGCGCATGTGCGTGTGCTGTGCGTGTGCTGTGCGTGTGCTGTGCGAGTGCTGTGCGTGTGCTGTGCGTGTGCTGTGCGTGTGCTGTGCGAGTGCTGTGCGTGTGCTGTGCGTGTGCTGTGCGTGTGCTGTGCGTGTGCTGTGCGTGTGCTGTGCGTGTGCTGTGCGAGTGCTGTGCGTGTGCTGTGCTGCGTGTGCTGTGCGAGTGCTGTGTGTATGCTGTGCGTGTGCTGTGCGTGTGCTGTGCGTGTGCTGTGCGTGTGCTGTGCGTGTGCTGTGCGTGTGCTGTGCGTGTGGTGGAATGTGGTGGGAGCAGATTCAGCTGCTGTCGAGCCTGGTGACTGTGTTCTACTTTGGGAAGCAAGGAGACGCCAGACTAGACGAGGTACTCAATGCTGCCATGCTGCTATGCTGCTATGCTGCCATGCTGCCATGCTGCCATGCTGCCTTGCTCCCATGCTGCCATGCTGCCTTGCTGCCTTGCTGCCATGCTGCCATGCTGCCTTGCTGCCATGCTGCCATGCTGCCATGCTGCCATGCTGCCATGCTGCCATGATTTGAGATGTTTCAAAACTAGATTCAGCTGCTGTCGAGTCGAGCCTGATGGCTGTTTTCTACTTTGAGAAGCTAGGCTCTAGCCAGCATACCACACTGGACGAGGTACATAGTGCTGCCTTGCTGGCAGGTGGCCTGTGTTGTATTGAGGGTTTGACACATACCCGCCACACACACTCGCATGTGCACGCATGCCCTCATGCACACACGCAGGCATGCACAAGCGTAGCACCCATGCATGCGTGCACACATGCTGAGAGTAACCTTGCACGCACACATGTACACATGCACTCACAAGCAAATAAACACAAACGCACTCACGCACACACACACA